CTGTGGATAATGAGAATGTGACTTTTATCCTAGCCCTGTTTGGTTAACTCTTCCAGCAATGTTCTTGTCCTGTAATTCAGCTTAACTTCACTTATACAGCTAATCTTCCAATTCATTTGTTTAAATTAAATAGCTTGCACTGAAAGTTTTTGTTGTTGTTGTTTATGGTTTGGGTTTTGTTTTTGTTTTTGTTTTTTTTTAGGGAAACATACTGTGTGTTTCTTCCATACTGCTGTAATTATTCTTTTGATTTTTTTGCTTGTTTATTTGTTGTGACAATACTCCAAGTTGCCACCATCCCAAATGTATTCTCTCTTATCCCTTACTACTATAATTCTGACTTTATTCAGGATAGTAACCAACTAACAAACAATGAAAAAAAAAAGTGGGGCTCCTGAGTGGCTCAGTTGGTTGAGTGTCCAATTCTTGATTTCAACTCAGGTCATGATCTCAAGGTTCATGAGTTGGAGCCCTGCACTGACAACAGAACCTGGTTGGGGTTTTCTCTCCCTCTCTCTTTCCCCTCCTTTGCACATCCTCCCTCCCTCTCTCTCTCCTCTCTCTCTTTCTCAAAATAAATAAGTAGGGGCTCCTGGGTGGCTCAGTTGGTTAAGCGTCTGACTTCAGCTCAGGTCATGATCTCATGGTAAGTGGGTTCGAGCCACATGTCGGGCTCTGTGCTCATAGCTAGCTCAAAGCCTGGAGCCGGTTTCAGATTCTGTATCTCCCTCTCTCTCTGACCCTCCCCTGCTCACGTTGTCTCTCTCTCTCTCTCTCAGAATTAAATAAAATATAAAAAAGAAAATGAAAAAAGAAATAAAACATTTAAAAAATAAATAAATACACTTTTTTTTAAGACCCTTAATTTTCTATACTCCCTTTCCATGTAATAAACTTCTAATGAGATATAGGCAGAATTCTTTACCTATATATTTTGAACAAATGGAAAATTTCTTTGTGGGGTAGATATAAAGCCTGGTGATGTAGCATCCATTTTGCAACCCCAACAGTATAAATAAAAGGATGGAGACCATTTACTAAATGTAGTGGGGAAAAGTTAGAAAGAGCTTGAGTCCTTGAAGGTACCATTGGGCTGCCTTACCTACCTTGGACTCTGTACCTTTTAAACTTATTTTGTGAAGAAATAATGTATTCCTAACAAAGTACATTGGTTTTGTCATTCTTTCCCATTAGGTACTAAACTCTAGAAAGTCAGGGACACTGTGAAACTTGTTTACCCTTGTAGCTCTAGATCGCATTTTCTTGACCTCAGCACTATTGACATTTGAGGCTGGTTAATTTTTCAATGTGGAGGAAATGTGCATTGTATGATGTTTTTCAGAACCTCTGGGTTGACCCAATAGATACCAGTAGCAATCCCAGCCCCAAAGAACTCCTGGGGGTAAATTGCCCTCCAACTGAGAACCACGACTATAGATGACAGGTTTAGTGCTCAGAGTATAGTGGTCAATGCATATTGACTGTATTAACAAAATTAGTAATTAATTGGATGTGAAGATTGAGAAAGATGGTAGAATTTAAGTGTGACTTCCAAGGTTTTGTCTTGGGCCAGGAATTGCATCATTGTACCACGTGAAAGATGAAGAAGCATGTTCCAGTTTGTCAACATTTCCCTTAAACAGTTGCCCTAAAGTTTAATACATACTCCAGATGTGACTCTAAATCACAGGTTTCTATTTCTGTATTAATGAAGCACAATATATCAGTATTTGCACGGTAGCTTTTTCCCATTTTCGGTAGCATAGCGTTTCGCCCCTTTTTTGGTCTCATTGCTTTATTGGTTTATATTGAATTTGAAATACACTAAAATCTCCTAGTTATTTTGTAAAGAATTCTGCTAATTTCTGTCTTCCTTCATCCTTTAATTTTACACTTGTCCTTTAAAAGTGCCAGGTTTGCACTTTTCCTTTTATATCAGGTTCTGTTCTTGGTTTGTTAGTTTTTTTTTTTTTTTTTGTTCTTATTTCATATTAGCTCTCTCTGACCAACATGATGTTCCCTTGGTTGGTTGGCTAATAAAATTTTTGTCTAGGCTAAGGACAAAATACATAGCATAGTTATGTACTCATGGGCTGAACTCAACACAAATGTCTTATAACTGAACCTTGAAAGAGATATTTTAACAGTCCAAATCTTTTCCCCTGCATCCAATTTTAAAGAGTACATGGAGCTGTAGGTGAGCACTGTGTTTGAAATCTGCTTCCAGAAATGAAGACAGTATGTAACTTCAGAAGAACACAAAAACAGTAGATTTACATTTTTTATTATATAGGAAGGTTCAATCAGGCATTCTCACTCTGTTTAGACTATAATGCTTAGCTTGATTGGTGGCACTGGCATGCCTATGCAACAGGACAGAATCTGTTTAAGTGGTGTGGAATGTGTGTTCCAGTAAGTGCATAATAACTTCATTGACCATGTTTTATAAGAGAACTAAAGAACTGAGAACAGTTGAAAATATCCAAGATTGCAAATGACTATTATTTGAACTGAATAATATGATATATTTCAGGAAGAGTAATGGTCACCTGATCAAGATATCTACCTATCTGTATCTAGCTAGCTGGCTAGCTATCCTAAACAGAAGTCCTTGAGTGCAAGAAATAAAGCAACATATTTAGGGAGAAATAATCAAAGGCACCTTTATATTATAATGGGTGTAGCTTTCTCTTACAATTAGTTTTTTTTTTTTAAAGAATGTTTATGCTTTGGGACAGGCCCCCCTCCTCTGTCCCATGAACTATTCAATATTAACTAGTCTCTTAGCTTCTACTTTAACCATTCCAAATTATTCTATATAGACATTATTTACAAATATCATCATTATCTTTGTAAAACATACTTTATTTGTGACTCTTCCCTGCTTCCTCTTACCTATAGAATAAATTCCAGATTTCTTAGAATTACATATAGGACACTCTGATTTTACCAATTTTATCTTTCTACCCCTCTCCATGAAAACTATGCTCTAACCACACTGACCTACTTTATGTTTCTGAATGTTCAATGTCATTTAAACTTCTGCTACTTTGCTTCTGCTGTCATTTCTGTATGGAGTGCCCTTCTCTACTCTTGTATTTGGTAAATCCATTAGCATTCTTTGAAAACCAAGTCAAATATGACCTTCTCCATTTTTTATTCCTTACTTTCCCTTCCCCAAATTCACAGTACCTTGAACTATGTCTGAAATCTAGGGTGTGTTTAATAAATGTTTCTGAGGGGCACCTTGGTGGCACATCCTGCTCTTGATTTCAGCTCAGGTCATGATTCCAGCATCTTAGGACCAAGCACTGCATTGGGCTCCTTGCTGAGTGTGGCACCTGCTTAAGATTCTCTTTCGGTGGGTCTCTCTCTCCCTCTGTCCCTGTGTCCTGCTTGCACTCTCTCTGTCTCTCAAATAAAAAATAAATAAATAAATAAATAAATAAATAAATAAGTATGAAATGAGTGCTTAGTAAATCTTCAAAAATAGGATGTGGCAGACTTAGTTTTATTGAGTTTATATAAAAAGAAATCTTATGTTATATCATAATTTATCTGACAAGCTATGACTATATAATATTTTAATAAATCAAAATGTAGTCAAAAATCAATTCAGTATGCTATTTGAAAGTTAAAAAGATACACTTATTATATGCATTCTCTTTCACTAACACATTTTGTCTGTTTTTCTTGTGTTTTAGTATAGGGAAACCATAACCAATTGTATGTACATAACTTTAATCTTGTTTCTTGAGTTGGGAATATCAGACTACCCACTTTCTATAGTGTATAATTACTATCGTTAATATTTCTTTTCATCAATTTTACCAAAAATGTTTGTTTACAGTGACCAGCCTTTAAAGTTCTTCACTGAGAATATTTCAGTAGCCCAAGATCAAAAACAGTAAAAATATTTTAGGTTAGAAGATAGGAAGAAGAAAAATTAATGACAGCTTTACACAATGGCATAGAAAAGGGAGACTGACAAAATAATATTTTTAATATTTTATTTTGAAAACATAGAAAAGACTGATAAGTGATGAGAGAATGCTATTTGAAACATGATGAATTGAATGGTTTTGTAGAGCATGATATTGCATATTCTCCATCTTCGTGCCTTGCTTGTGGGTCTCTAAGATATTGGAAGAGGAATGGGGAGGTGAAATGTATGAATGGGCTGCTCACTTTTCAGTGAATTGAGAGGTAGAACAAATGGCAAATGGAGTATCAGCTGTCTTATAAACCAAGTGAAGTTTTAACTCTATAAAGTGTGACAACGATTATGATTTTTTTTTTTTTGTGACTTTGAACCTTAGACTAAACCTTAAACTAAACTAACCTTTGGTGCCCACAGGGGAAAATTCTCGTTTGAAAAACTTAATTGGGATCCCATTTATAGCTCCACATAATAGACTTTAATTAATAAATGTGGCTTCCTATATATCTGTTGTTCAATGTCAATGAATGGAAATGTGTTTGCATTTTCACATTGTAGAAATGCCTATTCATGTATTTTAATCAGAGATTTACTATTATGATTTTTCTTTATACATAAACAAAGCACAACAGCTTATTTACATTGCCATATAGTTAACCTTTAAAACATGCCAAAAATCTTCACACTCTCTGCTTAAATATCATGGAGTTGGTGCAAACTACCATTTTATTTTCTTTTATTAGTTTTTTAAATCTCTACATTCAACACCCATTTTCAGAAATATTACCAATTCTTAAATGTTTGTAGTTTTCTCCAGGATAAATGGGCTGTTTCTCAGCTTTTTTTTTTATCATGTGTTCAAGAAGCCACTTTCTCAGATTCGGGCTGTTTCTCACCTTTTTTTAAATCATGTGTTCAGGAAGCCACTTTCTCCGATTCAGGGTTAGGGTTAGTATATGTGCCTGGTATTTTGCAGTTCAGAGACCTCTCCAGAAGTTTAGGGTTAGGGGTATATGCTTGCAACCTACCATTTTATTTTATTCTATTTTATTTTATTTTGTTTATTTTTTAATGTTTCATTTTTATTTAAATTCTAGTTCATTAACATACAACCTACCATTTTAAATAGAGTTGAAAAATAGAACCTATTAATAAGGTTGTGACTCTTCCATGCTCTAGCAAATAATATCTAAAGCTCTAATTCCAATGTGGGCATGCATAAGGAAGCAAGTAACTAGGGAAAGCAAATACAGTACTCTTATCTATTCTTTTTCAACCAGGTGCTCTTGTGATGCTAATGTGTAAGAGACTTGGTTGTTTGTCATTAGACCATAGACTGATTAGGATTCTCCATTTTTTCATATTCATCAGCATAGTGTTGATACTGATCAGTGAGAAGAGGCTGATTTGCTTCATCCATGTTGTTTCTGGCACGAATCACACAAGAAGCACCCGCAAAAATGACGGCAACCAGTGATAAAGCAGCAACTACTGCTATAGTTACAAGCTCAGAAATACTAAAATTCCGACCTGTGAAAAACAAAATGAGAACAAAAAGTACACAGTAAAATAGTTGCCACCAATAATCAGCCACCCTAAACTTAGCCACTGTGGCAGGCATTTTACTAAAATCTTCACATATCATTTAAAATTTTTTTTAATGTTTTATTTATTTCTGAGAGAGAGAGATCGAGAGAGCGTGAGCTGGGGAGGGTCAGAGAGAGAAGGAGGTACAGAATCTGAAACAGGCTTCAGGCTCTGAGCTAGCTGTCAGCACAGAGCCTGACGCGGGGCTTGAACCCACGAACTGTGAGATCATGACCTGAGCCAGTCGGATGCTTAACCGACTGAGCCACTCAGGTGCCCCTATATTTATCGTTTTTAAGTTTATTTATTTATTTTGATACAGAGAGAGACAGTGAGAGAGTGCAAGTGGGGGAGTGGCAGAGAGAGGGAGAGCAAGAGAATCCCAAGCAGGCTATGTGCTGTCAGCACAGAGCCTAAAGTGCTCAATCTCAGTTCCTGAGATCACGACCTGAGCTGAAATCAAGAGTTAAACACTTAACCAACTAAGCCATCTAGGTGCTACCATATATATATATTTTTTTTTTTCTTTTTAATTAGCCTCATTGCTGATGATAGCGCTTGTCATCATGAAGGCACTTACCAATTCCTCATACTAAGTGGACCCTATTGGGATAGCTATTATTATTTCTATTTTAACGGTGAGAAAATGAGGCCTTAGAGTTTGAGCCACTTGCCCAAGGCCACTTGGTCAGTAAGCACTAGAGTTGTTTCAGAAGCTCAGTTCTTTCAAAATCCAAGTGCTGTGCTCTTCCACTATACCCTGCTGCTTTTGTTGGGAAGGGAATGAAAAGGAAATAAGTAAGTTTTGAATTTCAAAATCTCAGAAAAAGCAGTGCAGAGTATCTCACTCTATTTTCTCTTTTTTTTTAGAGTAAAGGTATGAAGCCATCATTATGTAGTAGAAAAATTGGGGCATATTACATGAACTTAAGCTCAAAACTCATTATCTCTGCCTACTAGATATATGACCTTTGACAATTACCTTTTCTAAGTGAATCATAGCTAGCTTTATCTTCCTTAATGTAAAATGAGGATTACAACACTTACCTCAGAGGGTTATAGGGATTAAATGAGATAGTGTGCTATAGAATCAGCTTAATTCCAGATCAGGGTGGTCTCTCAACAAATGTCAAATTCAATCTCTTTATCCCGAAATAAAAATTCAAATAAAACCTTCTAAATCTAATTGGAAAATATAAGCTCAGAATACTGTGATTAGCTTAAAAGGCACTGGGTTTAGGAGCCCAGGTCTTTCAAAATACAAGTGCTGTGGATTTCCACAGTAAAGATACATTTTCAATACTCACTTGGCCATTGGACTTCATAAGTATATCCCAGATTGTCTGGAGCAGTAACAAACATTTCTATGTTGGTAACTGGAGGCCAGAATGGCACCATATTATATTGTCTATTATGTCCAATTGGGGCATTTTCCAATGGAAATGTGGATACATCTAAAATATGCCAAAGACATCTTTTTTTAATAGACATAATAAAATTAGTATTAATAGATTGTTATGTTCTGAAGGTGACCTTAAATATTCTAGGATAATATCAAAATGTTCTTTTTATTTTACACTGGATAAGGACATAAAAATAATTTCACTATATATGGAAGAACAGGGAAAATTGCATAAAACAGAGTTCAAGAATTTGAATAGAGCACTAACATAACATAGATGAAGAAAGTTTAAAAGCAGGGAAGTTTTAGTATTTTATCATGTGTTGATCATTAATTGTTTTATTTTTAAATTACAGAAACTTATTTGAAAAAATCATTAAACTTCTTTTGAAAGCTAAAATGATGGACTTATAGTTTGCTGAAGCTTCATCTATAATTTAAATTTGAGAGATGCCATATCTGATGGAGGTTTGTCCTTGAATATGAAAATATCTGTTTAGTATTCTTCATTTTTTTCTATTTACTTCCAGAGATGATAAATATTAATTTATATCCTGGATTTTACTCTGTTAGATAAACCACTTAAAATTTTAAATCAAGTTCCTGGGATATTATTTCTTTCCTGCCACTTCTCCTCTTTCAACATAAATACAAGTTACAGGCATTTATATTATTAGTGAGTTTCTGTCATCAACGATAAAAAGAGTGATATGTTCTTTGTGGCAGAAAATTGTTCTTTTAAAAACTTTTTTTTAATGTTTATTCATTTTTGAGAGAGACAGAGCACAAGTGGGGGGGATCAGAGAGAGAGGGTCTGAAACAGGCTCCAGGCTCTGAGCTGTCAGTACAGAGCCTGATGTAGGGCTCGAACCTACAAGGTCATGACATGAGCCAAAGTTGGCACTCAAGCAACTGAGCCACCCATGCACCCTAAGATTGTTCTTTTCTATTATTGTTGTTCTACATTTATGTTGGTATAATTAAATGATGTGGGATATCACAAAACTAGATTTGGAAGCAGGCTTGGGCAGGGCATGAGTGGAAAAATATTTAGAAGAGCCGAAATATGTGAGAAAGTTATCAGAGTATTAAATTTTCTGTTTGCAAGAAAGACATTACCTGGACAGTCGCTGTGGTCCTGGAAAGCACAGAAAAGTATTGTAGCATCTACTTTGAAAAACAATTGATCATAGAACTGACATGTAGTGTTCATATTTTTGCGAGTTTAGATGTCTTAGGTATTAATGCTAATTAAATATTTATTGATTCAAATCTGTTGAGCTCTTACTAATGTAAGACATGCGTCTAGGCATGGAGTCTGTAGCACTGCATAAGACAGAACGCCTGGCCACAAGGAACTCACATTTTGGTGTATTATTGGTATTATTGTTAATTATTTATTAAAGTTAATAATTTAGATACATTTTTTAACTTTCTATTACACCTTTCTCCTAAATCCTGACTTGATCAGCCTCAACCCCGTTCAGCTCCAGTGCTGCATTAAAGTTATATTGATTAAAATGAATGGAGGAATAATTGTGAAAATAGCAAACAATAGCAGTAGAATCGTCATGAAACTTCCCTGTGCAAGACTCTTTGGTAGCTTCCCATCTCAGAGTTATGTCCAACATCCTTCTGGATCTGCCCCCGTTACCTCTCTGACCTCATTATTTCCCACCGTTTTCTCCCCACTCTCTGCTCTGTTCCAGCCACAGTGAGTTCCTTTGTTCCTCCCAGGATGATCTTCCTCCATGTATTTACATAGTACTTACTATCCCCTTTCTTGATTTTCTTAGCCTGCAAAGACTTTCCCCCCATCTAACACACTTTATATTTATTTACATATTTTTACTGCCATTTCTACTAAAAATTAGGAGAGTTCCAGAAGGGAAACTACTTTTGTGCACTACTGTATTTCTGGTACCTAGAATACTACATAGGAAATAGGAAGCACTTAAATAATATTTTCTTCTAGCTTTACTGAAGCACAATTGAGAAAAAAATTGTATATATTTACGGTGTATGATATGATGATTTACAAATGGCCAACAGGTATATTAAAAGGTATTCAATATCACTAATTAGAAAATGCCAATTAGAACCATCATGAGAGATTACCTCACACATGTAAGGATGGCTGTGATCAAAAAGAAAAGAGATAAGTGTTGGCAAAAGTGTGGAGAAAAGAGAGCTGTTGTGTACTGATGGTGGGAATTGGCACAGCCACTATGGAAACAGTATGGATGTTCCTCAAAGAATTAAAAATAGAACTACCATATGATCCAGCAATCCCACTTCTGGGTTTATATCTAAAAGGCATGAAATCAGTATCTCGAAGAGATATCTGCACTCATGTCATTGCAGCATTATTCACAATAGCCAAGGTATGGAAGCAGATACTATTTGAGAAAGGGTTTGCGTGTATGCATAATGAGTTCATTTCTCTTCAGGGCAGGATAAGTAGTGTCTGGTCTGTGAAATGTACAAACTACTTCTTCTGAAAAGCTCACTATATTTAGTGCTATATATAAAACTTAATTCACATGATTTGCATTTAGGGAAAAAAGATAATTAAATGTGCACATGGATAAAAAATGTTAGTGAATAAAACTTAACATATTAAATAAAGTTTGCATACTCTATATTATACTACCTCATGTCTCATGAAAGTTCTCTGTAACAGACATTACATGTGGATGACTGTCATTGCCTTCAGCTGTAAACTGTAATTCTTATTCCATTCTGACCCTAATCATTTTATAATCCTATGATTTTTGAAGATACTTCCTTATCTATAAAACCTTTCAATACATTTTGAAAAATAATTCCATCCTACACTCATAGATATATCTGCAACAAAGACTTCTGCTATATGCATCCTTCTAGAAATTTTTTCAATCTTTTTATTTTCATCCTATTGTAGTTGTTCTAAGATATCATTTTTCCAAGGGATGATTGCAGGTATGTGGAATATTTAAGCAGATGGTTAATTGTTAATGTTCAGTGTTCATGCAATTTCTAAGTGTTCATATTGACTTGTCTTATAATTTTATGGTCACATTTTGTCAGAAATCTGCTTTAGACTCCCTATTTTTCATTTAAGGTATTTTCCCTCCACTACTATCCATGTAATTGAGAGACCTTATGCCACTGATATAGTACAAACAAAGGAAACAGGCAGAAAATAACAAAGATATTTATCTGGTTCATCAATGACCATTAACAAATTGTTACAGATGTCGAATAATGATCTTTTCAATCAAGATATGCAAGGCAGAAGAATACTTGTTTTTATAGTTGAAAGAAAGCTCCCAATTACCCAAGATTCTACACCTCCTTTTACTTCTTAAGTAAGTCCTAAGTAAGAACAAGTTACTAACAGCCCTGGCATTGTGAATGACTGAATAACTAAAGCTTATACATTGTTGTCTAGTTCTGAGAAGTGCATGTTTAACAAGTTTTTGTTCATCCTTATTATTAACTCCAATTTACTTGCTATTGTCATAAAAATAATATAGCTAAACATAAGCAAAATGATAATTATGATTTTTGAAAGGAAATGGATGTTGTTTTATATTAAATATATGAATTTCTAGGAAATATTTGTTAAAGGTGAATGCCTGAGATACTGGTAAAGAATTAAGAGTGAGCAATATGATTGTAAAGATAAGGTAATCATTATGAAAATCTAGAATCATGCTGCACTCAGACTGCATCTCAAGGGTTGTTAATATCTCGTTTCTCCTTAAAGAAACAGACATTGTAAATTGTAGATAATTCATTATGACTGTAGGTATGTATGTGAATATATATGAAATAAGGTGGCACTACAATTAGTGAATTCATGGGATATGGATGAGTGAATATTTACATGGGAGTTATTTGTTTCTTTAATGATTTTCTGATGGAACATATGACTTTGATCAACATATCAGCTAATGGTCCTAATCAGGTTGGATTAGAGACTTCTCCTGTACACACACACACACACAGACACACACAAAGAAATAAGAGACTGGCTGAATTGGATAGATAAGTCAATGGATAGTACCCAACATTATGTTTACATGTGTGATGAAGTAAAGGCCCAGAACCCGAAATTTACAACACTTTTGAAATATAAAAATGTATGATGCTTTAACCAATAGAAGTGCTTCATTGTCTACAAAGAAACTTGAGGGGCACCTGGGTGGCTCAGTGGGTTAGTGCCCAACTTCCACTCATGATCTCACAGTTGGTGGTTTTGAGCCCCATGTCGGGCTCTGTGCTGGCAGCTAGCTCAGAGCCTGGAGCCTGTCTTCAGATCCTGTGTCTCCCTCTCTCTCTGACCTTCCTCTGCTCATGCTGTCTCTATATCTCTCTCAAAAATAAATAAAACGTTAAAAATTTAAAAAAAAAGAAAAGTAAGTTGAGCCTCTCACCCAAGTAGAAGTGAAAAGAAAATGGCCTTCTAAATATTTTTAAAAATCCATTAAAATGAAGTTGAAAAAGATTTTCTATGCTGTGCCATATACAAAAACCAACATTAACTTTTCAAGTTGAAGAGAATTTCCATTTGTAAGAGGCCAGCAGTAATAAAAATCAAAACTGTAGATTATGAGCATAATTTTTTTTTCTGTCTTTTAGGTATGAAAGAAGAGCTCGGTGAGTTTTTTTATTCACAATGAGAATGTTCCAAAAGGGGGAAAAATTTAAATGTTCATTGGAAGTTACAGGGAAGAAAAAAATGGGAAACATGATAGTCATCTTTCCATACTAAAAACGAGAAGGGATTACGTGCTTAGTGAGTGAATGCTAGTAAATATCATCTATGAACTATTTTTATAACTTTTTATCTGCATTTTCAAAGTCGTTTGGGACATGTGGAAACAGCTAAATATCATAGCTATTTTATCCTTATTTTGAAGTGTAGTTTATGTGTGTCAAGTGTGTAATCTATAGTGAAAACTATACCACCTGAATAGTCTACTTGCTGAGCCTGCAAAAAAGCATAGGAAAATGTCTCACCAGCATTATATCTCCTCAGCCATTCATCAAAGACTGCGTCAGTGAAAGTATGCAGGAGGACAAAAATAGGATCATTTGGAGATAAATGGGTTTGTCCCCCTGTTCCATTCAGGAATAGATGAGCCAAATTGTGAAGGCTTCGAATAGCAGGGTCATACTTCCCTGTGGGATCACTGTAACCTAGATATAAAAAGAGGGGTGAGAAGAGTAAAAATCATTACTAATATCTTGCTTTTCAAATCAACAGCAGTGGTTAGATCGGGAAACAATTTTTCCACAGTTTGTCAGCCAATTTTTACTTTAATATAATAGCATTGCTTCTCTGAACCTATGGTGGGTGACATTTCTTGCTATACCCAGAGCTAGGTTAGCTTTAAGCTAGTGGCATGACATTCTAAATGTAGCCTCTAGGTTAAAAATAATGACCTGCAAAGATGCCATTCAAAATATATAGAGCACTCTGTTTTGACAAGGCAAACATTGGTTTAGTTGAAATAAAGAGTGGAAATCTCCAACTTCTACTAAAACCTAACACAATTGGGAGGGCATCAGTCTGATTATCCTGGACCTTAAATTCCCAGATATTACTTCAGTTTTCTACCTCATTCCCTTTTACTGTCACCATGTTTATTTTTGGAAAGTTATCTTATTTTTGTGGAAAAGTCACAATTTCCCAGAGTGTTTTTATCATGTCTGTGCTAGTTTTAAACATCTGGAAAGTGTATTGTCAAAACATTTATATAACTTTTAATAATTATCTATGTATCCTCTCTCTCTCTATTTCTCATAGTCTCTATGATGTATAAGATATTCCCATGTAATATTCATATTTCCCATATTATCTATTATATATACTTTCTATATTATATATATTCCATATATATATTGGGCAGAAGGTGAGGATAGATCACAAACAAAAATGGAGTGTCTGTGATGTGGAATGGAGTTATAAGTGTACCTAGTTGGCTTTAAGAATCAGAGAGAAGCAGGAAAGGTTATTTACTATAAAATAAAGTCAGAATTTAAATATTACATGGTGATCAAAAATAATGAAATCTTGCCATTTGCAACAACATGAATGGAGCCAGAGTGTATTATGCTAAATGAAATAAGTCAGTCAAAGAAAGACAAATATCATATGGCTTCACTCACAAGTGAAATTTAAGAAAAAGAACAGATGAACATATACGAAGGGAAGGAAAAATAAATATAAACAGAGATGGAGGCAAACCATAAGAGACTCTTAAGTTCAGAGTACAAACTGAGGGTTGATGGAGGGGGGTGGGGTGGGGGGCTGGGATAAATGGGTGATGAGCATTAAGAAGGGCACTTGTTGGGGTGAGCACTGGGTGTTATATGGAAGTGATGAATCACTGGGTTCTACTGAAATCAATACTATACTCTATGCTAACTAACTTGAATTTAAAAAGGTAAATTTAAAAAAGGATATAGTGCTTATGACCTTAGTTTATATATACTAGTTTAGTCAAAATATAGTGATTATCTATTGAATAATCTCCAAATCAGTGCATATAATATTAGTTATTAATATTAAGGTTAAGATAGAACAGAATGGCATCCAGTTCTGATGATAAAAGGGAAGAGAAAGGAAAATAATGATTAGATTTCTATGTCAAGTATCTCAGATCATGGGGACAGAGAGATCTATTCCCATTTTTTTTCCTCAGGGGGAGGAGCCTAACATGTTTAATGCTATATTTAATGTACATTGTGACAACAAGAAGTTTATAATACGTTAAATGTGATTCTGTCATTTTAAAACTTAAAATATGTATCAGTAATGATTTAGGTATATTGAAATGTATTGTTAAAGACAATGGACTTAGAAAATTTGGATTTGAAATTGTGTTCTGTTACAAACTATCATGGGAAATTCATTTTACTTCTTTGGTCTTTAGTTGCCTCACCTTTAAAATACTTTGAATGAAATAAGGAGAACCAAATTAAATATCATTAAATGGTAGCTTGCATTTTTATAGACCTTTAAAAATGTTCATAGGATAATACAAACCTAAATGAAATATGTGGCCCAGCCAGGCTTAATTGGACTTCAACTAATTGTTTAGAAATTTTGTTATTTTTTAAGAAAAAATTAATAAGCTCTCAAAGTCTCGAATATTATTTACCTCTACCAGAATCTGATAGTTATACACATATTGATCTTCCACCTAAAGGATTTGAGTTAATACTTTTCAGGTCTTTAAGAAACTGAAGACTGATTTCCCAGGGCTTCTACTACGATAATTAAAAAGAGTTTCATGGCCTGACACCTTTGTTTAAGAAGTTCTTTTTTGAGCAGAGAATTATGACTACATCATAATAGGAAGTAACATTCATATAAATTCAAAGGATCAATATGGCTTCCAAAGATTTTTGAAAGAGATCTCTGAATGTGAACAGTTCAGTTTACTGTGACAACTAGATCAAATCAAAGCACTGACTTCTTTTACTTACCTTCCACTGTATTTCGGAAACTGTTTGTAGAATTGGAATAAAAAGGAGGGGTGTCAAATAAGCCAACTTCCAAGCACTGAGCAACATCCTGTGGTTCAGGAAGACGTTGTACCATTGGCCTAGCCACATTTCCGGCTGGATTTCTCCTAATTGGCCCCCCCTCGGTGCCTGGAAAAAGTGATGGGTTATATAAACATTTATAGAATATTTACAGATCTTATTTTTGCTCTCCCATTTTTATGTATAGCATGAACACTGAAAGATAAGATCTACTTGATAGAAGAGAAAATTTTAAAAAGGCAGATTTAAGGGCATTACAGTGAGAAGATATAAGATATTACATTCATTTCTGTGAGGAGAGTTAGATGTGTGATACATAAAATTATTGGAAGAAAAAAATGATCACAATGACAGAGTCCCTGGTATTCGTTTAATCAATGTATTCTTCTTTAATGAGAATATATTAACATCAAAAGTCCATGAAAAATTGAATTTTGCCAAACTAATCTCATAAACCTAAACCCACCACTAAATCTATGTTTCACATATGTGTGAAATTTTATATTCAAATTCTGTTTGTTTCAAGCCTTCAGAGAAATAAAGAAAAACAATCTAAAGTTTCTTTGAAAGATGGTCTATATTTTAATCAATCCATATTTTTCAGCAATTAATATGAGAAATAATTAAACTTGCTAAAAGGCACTAAGACAAACAGGCAAGCAAAGAGCTGTCATACTAGGGATAATATGATAGGTGCGTGGAGGGAGGGAGGGAGAGAGAGAAGAAAGACTGGGTGGGGGGGGGAGGGAGAAAGAGAGTGGAAGGGAGAGGGGAAGAGAGAGAAAGACAGAGACTGGGAAAGTATATCAATCCTTTCCAGTTGTGTGGTTTCAGAAAGGTGTCATTAAAGAAAAAAAGATTTGCAGGGGCACCTGGGTGGCTTAGTTGGCTAAGTGTATAACTCTTGATTTCAGCTCAACTCATGATCTCAGAGTTTGTGGGCTTGAACCTGCATTGGGCCCTCTGCTGACAGTTCAGAGCCTGGAGTCTGCTTCAGATTCTGTGCCTCCCTCTCTTTCTGCCTCTCCCCTACTTGTGCTCTGTTTCTCTGTCTCTCAAAAATACATAAATGTCAAAAGAAGGGGAAAAAAAGAAATTAAAAAAAAAAAGAGATTTGCAAAGAGCCCTGAAGCTCTGAGGAGAACTTTTAGGGAAAAGAGGGGGAAATGTTACAAGTCAAATGTTTTCCACAGAGGTAACAACAAGCAATGATAAACTTTCTCACATCTATGAGATAAGCTCCTTCAGAACAAGAACTCTATCTGTTCTCACTCACCAGTACATCCCTTATCCTTGGTACAGGGCCTGGCAAATAGAAGATACTAAATAGTTATCTGGTGTATGTTGATATACAGAAAGATTGTTTGAGCTGTAAAGAGGGCCTGCTTGGGGTATAGCTTGCCTGGAGTACAGGGCAATGCAAGAGGGTAAATCACTGTGGGAACAATGAAAAGCTAGACCAGATCCATACTGTGGAGAAATAAAGAGTAATATGAGAAAACGTGTTATTCAATAGGAAATGAAGACAAGTCTTGTGTACGTGAGAGGGGAGGAGATAAGGTAGGAACATTTTGCACTGGTTGTTCCAGTAGTCTCCAGAGAAGCATGTGTGTCCTAAGAGGCTATGCAGAACAATCCACTGGGGTGGGAGAGGAGATATTAAAATCTCAATTTGTATTCATTTTACCCCATTCATAAAGCTTACTATGCTGTAATGTTTATAATTAACATAATGATCAGTACCCAATGAATTAGTATAGCAACTTTATATAATATAAAAATAAAGCATATGCCACTCTTGAGATTGGAAAGTAGATGTACATTTTTAGTGTATGCATTATTATTAAAACTTTCAGACACCACTGGGTAAACTATCAACCCAAGCTTATGTTTTAAGGATTGTTGTTCAGTAGCTATCCATATATTCCAAGAAAAAAATGATAGATTATATGGGTTTTGAAAACATTACATCCTAATTTGCCCTCATGGAGTTTCATAGTGGAGAATTCTGCTAGTGAAGAAACTAGTTTAAACCAATTTAATTTAACCCAAGACTTTTTAGATTTGTTTGCACATGGACAGCCTCCGCCAATGCACCTGATTTAACATCATGTGGATTGGAGTCCTGTGGAGTTTCCATTGCAGGAATGAATGAAGAGTTCTGAGTGTATGAAGGAGAAAATAGATTTAAGAAATACTGTGTAGAAGGAACAACATTTTTCATTCAATGAATCAAAGATGATATTTTAGTGGCTGGAAGAGTCTTAGATGTCAATAATTCATTCTTGCAATATACCAAGTTTGGCGCATTAATGGAACATTGGAGAGGCATGATGCAACAAACACATAAAAACACAGAACTGGGAAACGTAAGGAAGGTTTGCTATAAAAATGTACATGCATGGCTGTCCAGTAAAAGATGATCAATGAAACCACAGGAATGGATAATTTCATCCAAGAAGAACCGTAGAGAAAGTAAAGAATCTCTAGGAGAATTAAGTAAGATACACAAAAGCATTTGGCAGCATATCAGATACATAGTATGTGTTCAATAAACTGTTAGTTTCCTTTCATTTTTCACTGGCCTACTAAATAAAATTCTTGGTATTTATATAATAAACTAAGTATAGAAGTATTCCTCAAATTTATTTCCCTAAAATACACAATCTTCAATTTTTCATGATGCTATGTGTCTTGGTTATGAGACTTACTGACAATAACAACAGTGGTGAAAATAGAATCTTCTCTTCTCTGCTATAATTTTATTTACCCATTTAAACTGTGCTCTATTTTGGTATCCAGTCATCAGTATGATTAGAAAATGTCTGGAAAAATATCCCAGGACAGAATACAATAGCCTGCTCAGAAAGAGATTGTTTCGGTATCTAAAGACATATTGATTCTCAACTTCATTTCAAGGTGGGATCACTAATTCAGCATGATAAACAAGTAAAAAATGTATTCTAATTTTTAAATATCTACAGAAAAAATCCATATACTATCACTTCTCTTTTTCCTATATACAGATAAAAAACCTTGTAATGTTGAAAAAAATCTGCTGAATTTTTTGTTCTATTTAGAATACTCTTTTTTTTAAATTTTTTTTAATGTTTTATTTATTTCTGAGAGAGACAGACAGCATGAGCAGGGGAGGGTCAGAGAGAGAGGGAGACACAGAATCTGAAGACAGGCTCCAGACTCTGAGCCAGCTGTCAGCACAGAGGCCGACGCGGGGCTCGACCCCACGAACTGTGAGATCATGACCTGAGCCGAAGTCAGAAGCTCAACCGACTGAGCCACCCAGGTGCCCCTAGAATACTCTTTTTTAAGGGTATCCTTTTTTCTAAGTTGATAAATGAATTTAATATTTTAAGCTTAAAAGAATATATGGAAATATATTTTGAAGATGCTAATAAAATAAATTACCATCAATCCAGTTTTTAAATTGAAGAACAAGTTTAAAATAACCAAACATGCCTGAAGAAGAAAAGTAAGATGGGGTAGGGAGACTCTAATAATTAAGACCTTGTGTCAGTACCACAGAGAGAGGTAATAATGTGATTTAAGGAAGAAAACAACACACTCAGGAACAGATCCACATGTAACAGCTTGACCTAAAGAAGAAGTGGCATATAAATTATTGGAGAAAGGATGCTGGGATAGCTGATTTAACATTCCTTTTTTTGTGTGTTCACTTTCACAGAGGTGCAAAGTAGGTAGCTGGCAGACATCTTGTGTACAATATCTTCCTTTACTTAAAGATATCCTCTATATCACCTTTTGCTTTTGATTCTCTGACTATAATTTACTCTCAGGTCACTTCTAACTCTTTCTGCATATTTCAGATTTCCGGGGGAAACAATTTTCTATGAAATTCCAACCCAAGACACATGACTATGCAGGAGTGCTGTGCATGCTAAGAGGATTAATGTTAGACAACCATACATTTCCAAAATAAGACAGTGAGCAATGCAATGGCCAGATTGCTCAAGAAAAGCAGTGTAAAAATGTATACACATTTTCTGTTTGCCCCTGGAACATTATAGATTGCCTTGAGTAGCCTAGGTGTTTAATGAATGTCTGTACATTGATTCTCTATAATAAAAGTAGACTTTATTCTGAAATCCTTAGTAGAATGAGGGCTTTCAGGCAGCACATTTAATCTCTTTAGCTAATAGGGAATTCTGGATCCTGGATGGATTTGGAACTTACTATTACAAAGTGTTCCCAGGGTGTCATAATCCTCCAAGGATTCACAGACCACTCGCCATTGAGAAAAGACAGAGTTCAGACTTATAAGAGTGGAGTTAAAGTTGCTTCTCGATCCCATCAGGTCATCGGTGCAGATGTCACAGACGTTCTTCCCAGTTGCAAAATTCCAGTAAGGAAGGGAGAATGAAGGATCCTGCAACATTTCCTAGATCAAAGAAACTCTGTTAGCATTGTTTGCTTTTGTTTTAAATTCTACCTCTTTGCTTAGTTTTCTCCCTGGCCATCTGTTTCTATTAACTCCCTTTGGGTAATTAGAACCAGTTAGTGTATCACTGGTGTCTGAGGAGCCAGAAGAACTAAATATCTTACTTAATAGAGCTTCTAGTATACTATGAGGAGTCATTGGGGCACTATAGAGAATGAAACTCAACTCATTATACAGAGGTTTCTACAAATGATTTTTTTTGGGGGGGGGTGAAGAAGTCTTCCCTTTCCTTTTTTAAGGCAGGTAATTGCAGTTCTATTGGTGATACCAAAAAATATCAATAATAGCTTTCACTTCTTGACATTTTACCTCCTTCTGTTTTCATATCTCTAATTCAAGCATCATGGAGTCTTGGTCTGAAACCAGACTCAGCCTTTAAATATATTATGTAGAGCAGTGTTTTTTGTTTAGTTTCTGTTTTTTTTAATTTTTGTTTTGTTTTAATTTAACATGAATGATTTCAGGCATTTAGATTCTGGTTTTTAAAATTTTGTTGTGTGTTAGCAAGGGTAGTGAGAAAAGCCCATAGATTAGAGCTAGATAGACCTTGGTTGTGAATTCCAGGTTTACCAATACCAGCTATATGGATTCAACTTTTCACAGGCTACACAGACAAGCTCTTTCAAATCACCTTATCTGCTTGCACACTGTAGGAGTTTCACTTAAAGACCCCTGCTTCAGGATCTAAACTGTTAAGACTTGAGTTTCTGTTCTCGAAACTAATACCAATGGGAAATGGGAAATTAAGTAAAGTAGTTCTTGTATTTCTTTGTGCATATGGTTCTTTAGACCAGGGATGTAGTTTCCTTTCAGAGCTGATCTCAACAATTTTAAAAGTACTGGACTCAGGGGATGCCTGGGTGGCTCAGTTGTTTAAGTGTCTGACTCTTGATCTTGGCTCAGGCCATGGTCTCATGATTCCTAGGATTAAGCCCCACTTCAGCTCTGCACCGACAATGTTGTGGTGATGTCTCTCTTTCTCTCTCTGTTGTCTCTCTCAAAACAAAACAAACAAAAACCTTAAAATAAAAAGTAATGGAGTAAGATCACATACTTATTTTTATTGAGTTCCTTAAAACATATATTTATTGTATGTGTTCTCATTCCTTTAGACCTTTCAGGAGTAATATTTAGGGAGTGGGATTTAAGTGTAGAGATTACCATCATTTTATCTCACCTCCCAAGCATTTAGTACATTTCTGCTTTTTCACTTTAAACCCTTTCTAGGAAGCATTTCCTGCTCCTCAGGGTATTTTAAAGGACCAAAAGCTTTCCAAGGCATCCTCAGTTATTGATCTCCAGGGGTTTAGAGTCCTTGTTTAGAAGCCATTGTTCTGGTTCACAAAAATTAGTGACAGTTTCCAAGGGATCATTAAGAGTCAGTTTGTGGTTCAGAATTGACATTTGGGAGTTGGAGAATATTCATGTGGCATTTGAAATGTGCATTACATTTAGACTGTAATTTGTTGGATCCCTTGTGCTGTTAGGTTTTAAAAATGTAAGGCATAGAGGTTGAAGTTTACACAGGCAAAATCGAAGCTTTTAGATACTTTCCACCTGCCCTTTCATTTTGGTGTGCCCAAGGGAAAATGATTCGGAGGCATGGAGATCTGGAGTTGATTACAAATGACAGATATATCTACTTGTAATCTACTAAATGTCTTACTTGTAATCAGAGCTATAAAATATGAAGTTCAGTATCTGAATAATTAATTTAATCACTCTCAAACTGCATATGGATGGACTACTTTTATACCAATGCTTTATTCTGTATTTTAGTGCATTAATTCTCTGTCTTCTAACCATTTATTTTCTTGTGATAATGCTGGACACGAGCATACTGCAAATCAATAAATGAATCTAAACACCTTTTCTGCTCTCTGATATTTTTTGAATTAATGTTTAGATTTTAATTTGAGAGAAGGAATCCGTTTAGCTAGAAAACAAGTTCATTTTGTGGATTTCCTAGGTAAGATCTAATAATTTAAAATTTCATTTTATTTTTTATGTTTATTTATTTATTTTGAGAGAGAGAGCAGGGCAGGGACAGAGAGAGAGAGAGAGAGAGAATCCCAAGCAGTCTCTGTGTTGACAGCACAGAGCCCAATGTGGGGCTTGAACTCATGAACCCTGAGATCATGACATGAGCCAAAACCAAGAGTCAGTCACTTAACCAACTGAGCCATCCAGGCACCCCTAAAACTTCATTTTAAAATTACAATAAAGAAGTATCTATGTTAACAGATACTTTAAGGTGGTTTGAGCTTCTCTGCTTAAAAGATAAGCAGGAAATAAGGATTGAGGTTTACTTATTGGCAAATAAAGTTGATGCCTTTTAAGTAAAAATGAGACCTGAGTGATGTGATATTTTTAGTAGGTTTCTGTGGTAGAGGCATGGAAACAAAATGTAATTCAATGAACATATGACAATATAAAGGATTTTTTCCCCATAATTTATACTTTGTACCATAAACTCTGAATCATTTGCTGGCATAATGAGGTACATATTTGGGACTTGGTAGACTGAGAATCATATGCACACTTGTTTTATCCATACCAGGAGTAGGAGGTATTGGTTTAGATTTGAGAAGGAAGACCCATCAATTGAGATTCTTTTGTTGTGAAGATCATTTTTTTCAATTATGCTGCAGAATATGTCCAACACTTTACATCACACCTACAGATGTCTCACCTGGCTCCCTCATCACTGATCTTACTTTCTTTTCCCTTCACAAAAGGTTAAGACTAATTAATGAGTAAGTAATTAGTATAGGGAGAAACTTAGAATGTCAGAGGCAGATTAATAACATGAAATTGCTTTGTCATCACATGTTTAGATCACGTAGAACATAGTTGACTAAAATGACTTACACATGAGCCACCTTGTCTACTGGAGACATGTGAAGTTCAACGTGTGACACATACCTGCATGTCTCTCTCCAACTGCAGGAGATGATACCTGTGCCATGTGAGAAAAGCCGGTCCCTCATGAGAGAAATCCACTTCACCAAAGCTTTCCTGTCCTGACCCAAGGAAAGTCTTTTTGACCGAATAATAGTGTGTCCAAACGAAGTAGTTATAAATGGAAATGTTCTCAAATTGTGGCGTGTTGCCATCTGGCCCCAATATTTCTTCTGATCTCCTGGTGGCGATGACAAACTGAGGATGCATGGTGCGTTTTGCCAGATCCAGGGCCTGGACAAAGTGGTTCTTTTCTTCTGTACTTAAGTCCAGAAGATTTCTCCTGACTTCAAGAATACAAAATCCAAACATGAAAACATGTGCCACATGAGCATAATTGTAACACTGTGTCCCATTTATCTACTAATGATAATTTGCATATATGCTTAAATAAGTTTATACTTTTTTAATATTCCCCTCACCAAAATCCCTTTTTTAGGTCTGCTCTTACCCACTCCCCCACCAACTTACTCCAGGATTTGCGTTAGTTTTCTTTATTGTGACTGTGGACTCTATGATTCTGTGATCTTGTATTTATTTCTGCTCAACATTGGTATATTTTTCTGGAACTTTCTATCTTTTTAAAATCATAAGACGTAAAAACATGACAGTGGTTAATACCAGAGGCTTATTCTGTGACTCTGTACACATCTTTCTAAGTCTCACTTTCTCATCTGTAAGGTGTATATAAAAACAATATCTGCTTTATAGAGTTGTAAAGATTAAAGAAAACACACATAAAAAGCAATTATATCAGAGAGTGGCTCATAAAAAAGACTCAGTTAACATTTGTTAGACCCTTGGTCCAATGTTTGGCACATAGAAAACAACGAAGTATTGCCAGAATTACTATTTAAAACTTTATTATTTATTGCTGTTTAATAGAGTACAGGCCAGACTCCTCATCTGAAATGGCTGAATTTGATCATCACAATGGGAAATTTCTTTGTGGGTTAGCAAGGGTAGTGGAAGTAGATCATGGTTTAGATTTAAACTGACCTCCCTGGTGAATTCCAGGTTTTTCAAGTACCAGCTATAAGGATTTGACCTTTCTGAGCCTCACTTATGAACATGAGCATAACTACCTTGAGAAGTTACTGAAGGGTCTGGTCATAAACACCTACCATGTTTCCTTGCATGGAGCGGTTGCTCAATGAATGTTTTGGAAGGAGATCTTATCAGTCAGAGGATCTGAGCCTTAACCTCAACTCTTTAAACTAAATACACTTATGAGCCTCTCTAAGCCTCAGTTTTCTCAACTGTGAAAAGTGGAGATTGAGTTGCATGATTTTCAAGTAGGTTTCCAGCTCAAATGATTTAGGTTCCTATTAAGTACACTGAGTCTCATGAAGAACTGTGTATACACTCATATCTGCACTTACCTATGAGAACTCTCTCGTCACAGGCAGCTCCTTTCCATCCAGGACGGCAAGTCCCACAGTTATGTCCTGAGAAATTGCCATTGCAGTGGCATGTCCTATTGAAGAACCTTGTGGGCCAAGCCTCCCGATCATCTCTGCCATCATGGGGGTAATGGTGGCTGTGCGGTCGTGAATCTGCAGTCACTGCCTCACACCTTCCTCGCCCTGATGAGGAGCCACAGGGGTCAGTCCCAGGCCCAAACAGTGGGGACAGGTCTGGGCAACACATACCATTTCTCAGAGCCTCAACAGTGGCACACTGTCTTGGGAACTGAGCCCAGGTCTGTTGAAAAAAGAGCAGGTACAAGATGTATCCCAGAGAGAGGAATTTATCAGGTTTCATTCTGCTTGAAGCAGGAGTGAAGAACAGATCTCTGGTTTGCAGCCCTTTGTGTAGAGACTGAAGCACATAAAAATCAGGCTGAAAAGAAGAAATCAAAATGGCATTATGCAAGTCTCCTTCTTATGCTGCTATAAACAGGCATGAGTCCTTCCCAACCGCCCACAAAATGCTTTTCATATCCACGGAATGACATTTCTAGCAAATAGTAAAAACAGTAATTTACCTTGAAAAACTTGACATGTATAATACCTACATAATTAAATCCTGGCCCTAGCATTTAGTTTTCTTTATTTTAAATTTCTATTTATTAAAAAAAAACTTATCATAGATATCTCTTATCAAAAGCATTCATTAGCAGGTCATGACCATTAATTACATTTATCCATGAAGCTGAAAGACAAATTGGAAGCAGATTTCCTGCAAGTTAATTTCCGTTACTTCAAGTCTCCCATCCTAATGGAGTTTTGGCAGGAGTCCACCTGCTCCCCATAGAGCCTCCCTCCAGTACCTTAAACTCCTGAGTGGGTTCTCTGATGAACACCTCTCAGAGCTGAGTGTTTTATATTTGCTTGTCCCCTGATGTCAGAGCTGTTAATTGCATATGAGTTTCTGCTTGATAACTAATCCCAAATCTGCTCACCCAAACTGGGAGGGGCTGGTCCTCTTCCCCACCCTTTACTAATCCCCTTTCACTTCAGTGAGTTTTTCTGCCCTTTAAGTACTTTGTTAGCACATGATTCCTTTCCCACTGATTTCCTTGTGATTCTTAAAGTTTTAAGAAAAGGTCAGAGGCGCTCATTTGGAATACAAGTCAGAGAAACTAGAGAGCTTTTGTTTGCGTTGTAGAGATTTAGAGTTTTTTTTCCTTTGACTTATATCTTTAGAATATGAAATGAGATTACTTACATTTCGTTACTGTTACAAGGGCTAGACTAGTACTTGTATTTGATGGTAGCTTTGAATTGTGTTTAGTCTTGAAAACAGATGTTACCATCCTTATAATTTCTATAGGGAATAACTGAAGTAGAAAACTCATCAGATACAATTACACCAAGTCATAGCATTGACTTTCATGGTGCCTGCTGGTGTTGAGAGTTGGGTACTCCAGCTTCCTTACCTCCACTGGGGTATTGTCCATCTCTATGGCCAAGCATCACAGGCTCACTACTACTTCTGTTGTTTAGAAGATGACCACTGAATGGCTTCTTCTTTTCTCATGCCAGTGGCACTAATTTTACATTTTAAAATGTTGTCTTGGTGTTAATGGCTTCATACAATCATTAATTGATATTTCAAGGTTTCAGATCCACCCAGGGCAAATTTAATTATGAAAAATAATGCATATAAAATAATATTTAGGTAGTCGTTTTGGTTGTTATGCTTTTTTTGTCTGGCCTCTTACTGGATCAAAGTAGATTATCACTTTTCTCTCTTGAATAAAGGCAGTAGTAACATAACCTTAGTGGTTTCTTAGTTTTAACAAAGGTACTAAAGTCATGGATGTTAACATCTGTGTAACCTTTCTGTATATCTAAAATTATTCCAAAATAAAATATGTATTTTAAAAAACAATTTAAAAAACAAGGTAAGCTATTCATATATATTCATATATATATATATATATATATTCGTCTGTACAGATATAAATATACCACAACGTGATATATTACACTGAAAGAAAAAAAATGAAGCTTTACCCATTACACCTCTTTGTTATATAATTTTTACAGTTACCTCAGGATACCCTGAGGACAGTGTGATAAGTAATTGAATGATAGGCACAATGTGGGGACATCTGTATCAAATCACTTAATATTAATTAAATATAAGAATAAGTGTAAAATGATGTTCTGATATTTTCTTTCTGGACCCCTCTAGGATTGTGAGAATCCCCCTTGAAGATCACTACTAAGGGTGATTTCATCCTATCACGTGGAATTCATCTATGGGCTGGTGAATCTCAAGTCAGTAGCTCTAATAACACTGTCTCCCCAGAGGTTCTGACTTATATATCTAACTGCCTACTCCCTAAGTCCACTTAGGCACCTAAGAGATTCATCAGACATTTATAAAATGTGTTCCTGTCTTTCCCATCTCAGTAAATGGAATCACTGTTCATCCCATTACTCCGGGAAAAAAAAAAAAAAAAAAACACACCGAAGTCATTGTTTTTTCTTCTTTGTTTAATGGCAACTACATTCATCAATTGGACTAAGAGTCTAACCTGAAGCCTTCATTAGCTCTTACCTGCCCTGTGACAATAACCTAATTTATCTCTTCAACTTCCATGCTTAACCACACAAGAAGTTATTCTCCACTCAAATTTTATATTATTCTCCGCTGAGGAGCCTGAAAGAACTTTTATTGCTGACACCTGATCACCACTGCTCTCAACAAGACCCTTCAATGTCTTCCAAATACACATAGAATAAAATCCAAATACACCCAGAAGCCTACATGATTGGGCTCCTATCTCTTACAACCTGCTACCATATTCCCTGTTACTCCTTTGTTCAGTGGCAAAGTTATCACCCATGTCCCCAGGTCATTGTACGACTTTCTATGTCACTTTATTCAGGTCTCTATTCCAATGTTACTTCTTCAAAAGGACCTTGACTGATGATCCCACATGTCAGTTCCTAACCCCATCATTTATTACTTCCTTTTTAAGACTTAGTCTTTAAAGTACTAAACACTGCCTGAATTTTTGTTCCGTATTAAGTTTTCACTTATTGTTTCTCTCACTCATCACAAGGCAAGTTTATCTTTCTTTTTTGATATTGACCTGAGAAATATTTAGAGAACCATGTAGTCATTTAATTTTTTTTTTTTTTAATTTTAGAAGGAGAAAGAGAGAATCAGAGCCAGATGTGGGGCTCAATCCCAGGACTCTAGGATCATCACTTGAGCTGAAATCAGGAGTCAGATGCTTAGTCGACTAAGCCACCCAGACGTCACTCAGGCATCACTAGCCATTTTTTTTTTTTTTTAGTGATGTTGGGCTAGACATCTGACTTATTTACTCCTAGTCTAAAGATTCATCAGCATTCCCATTATAAGGAATAGTGATGAAACACCACCCACCTCTAGTATTTTTATTAGTTACTATTAATGGACACCTATAATTTCCAAAATGTTATACATACACTACATATCATTATTTTAAAATATTATGGAAATATTACTTTTAATATGCAAATGAAGACACAGAAGCTAATGGAGATTAAAAATTCTTTAAAAATCATGTAATATTCAATTTCAGGTTTTGAACTCAACTTAGTTTGTTCCCAAACTAAATGTTTCTGCTTTGCAAATACTGCTCATATTCTAAAAAAAAAAAAAAGTGCTGTATTTTGAGTCATAAAATATACCAGTTTCGCCTTGGTAAACAAGTGCCTTCATTTCTCTGAGTCTCAGTTCCTCATCTGTAAGTCATATATATTAAAGATATATTGTTGGGGCAAAAAAAAAAACCTCAAATAAAAATAGCAAGCAGAATGTAGACAGTCAATCAATAGTAGCGTAATAAGTAAATGAATAAAAGATAGAAATCTTAAAATAGATAAAAATACTGAAATTAATACCGTGTTCATAACTAACTTAGTAGACTGGAATACATTTTGTGCAATGTCTTCATTTTTATCAAGTATCCAATCAATGCCATGAGTAGTCCTGTGGAATAAGAATTTTAAGCACTGAAGAAAGGGGAAAAGCTGAAATGGCAGTGTCTATTAATTACAAAAACCTGGAAGTAGATGAGAAGTAGTATATTACAGTATATACACTGGCATCATTTCTTAGTTTTCTTGTATGTTCTAATGAGGGAGGCTGGTGCAAAGTGTAAAAAGAAAAATGTACTATGTCTCTCCTCTTGTACTATGTCACTCCTCGTGGACTGGTTAAAATGCTCTAATCTGGCAAAGTTATTCATAGCATAGGTAAGAAATGAATGTTAAAATACATGTGCAATACTGCTTGGCCCACAACAGAAATTATTGCTAAGACTTCTTTAGTGGAAATTAAGTTTTATACATAATTTTTTTTAGAACTGGGCTGTTCAGAAATACAGACGTTGGCAGCGTAGTTAAGACTTGTCAGGAATCACTGTTGGTGTGTGTGTGAGATACATTCAAAACTGATGGGAAAATCACATCTCAGGGAAAAGGAACCTATCCCTACTTCCTATTTTATCCTTTCTAGTCCTTTCAATGTCATTTATAAAAGGAGTTATCAGAAATCTAAATGATAAGAACCAAGAATTAAGGTTAAATTAAGGAGAAAAAATGTTTCAGGAGCATCTTAATTTCCCAGAAGAGTTATTAATGAATATTAATATCTTTAGTGATCATTTGTGGCAAATGATACTGAATATATTAATTGTCCAATCGGTTTACATGTTATTAAATTATGTGCTTACTTGTACTAAGCTTAGATTAATGGCTAGAATTCCAAAGGCATTAAGGCAACTCAAAAGTCGTCTGTTGGGCCAGTCATGTGCTTTTACCTCATGGAGAAGCTTAAATTCACTGAGAGCAAAGGGAAAGAATGTTAGGCCTGTGTTTCTGTGTCACTAAGCAGAGTTTCAGTGAAACATAATGTTTCTGTTTTAGGGCAGAATATTTGAAGTTGAGGTCTCAGGTAAAATAGTCATTGACAAGACTTGCCATTAATTTCTTATTTGAGTTTTCAGATCTTTACACAGTATTGCAAATACTGGTATAGGACAGTCAAAAATAATTTGATTTCTGTCTAGTTAAATTCTAAGTTAATTTTAAAGCAATTGGGGGCACCTGGGTGGCTCAGTCAAGTGTCTGACTTCACCTCAGGTCATCATCTCACAGTGAGTTTGAGCCCCACATCCAGCTCTGTGCTGACAGCTCAGAGGCTGAAGCCTGCTTTGGATTCTGGGTCTCCCTCTCTTTCTGCCTTTCACCTGTTCTCTCTTTCTCATTCTCTCTCTCTAAAATAAACAGTAAAAAAAAAAAAAGTTTTAAAGCAGTTAAAGAATTTCTTTTTACTGATGATTATATT